TCCGTTGAATTAGTTGCGTTGCTCTTGGGATAGCAAGAAGATCCACATGTGAGACCGCAACGATCCACCATTTTAAATTTCGTGATAACGAATGCATTGTGGAAGAAATATTAACTGCGCATGTGCACAAGTAGAGCGCTGCTGATTGCGCTAAGCTTTCTGGGTAATTCCATTAGAAAACGTGTGGGGAAGGTTTTAAATCAATGTATCAAGAAAGAAAGAATGCACCCATTTACTGCCTAAATGAACTTTATTCTCTTAAAAACATACAGATATATCACAAATAGCTAACCTAGAAGCAGTGAATGGCATCCTTATTCATGGATTTTGTAATTTTTGGACGACAGACGCCTCGCCATCGCATAGGCTCATCAGGCCTTAAGGCCGGATGAGCCAAAAATGAAACATTCAGAATTACTCAAAATGCAAATGCTGCAGACTAAAAAGAAACAAATTGTGAAAGGTTAAATGAAACTCATTTGAAACATTTCAGCCAGGATTTTGTTCACGACTTTCCTGATCTTATTTACTACAAAATTCTTCAAAAAATCGACCACGCAAGTATTTGGCGGATTGCTGGTTATTATTCCGACCATCAGCTTCTACAACGTTTACATTTACAGTAATGAACAAACAAATAAAACTTCCAAACGATCATCAAAGTTATGGCGTGACATAACTTACTTCGCGATGTTATACACCGGTTATACCAATAATTCCTCTCACTCAGTCATGATGCCATGCAAAAAAATATACTTTTTTTATATGAAAAAAAAACGCAAAATTTAGTTTTATCAGGAGCAATTATTTTTCATCACTCAATCACTTCGGTGAAAAACACAGACACGCCATGATAGTTGTGATGCATTACTTGACGAACATGCGTCCTTTGACCCGATGGGTCAAAAACGCCATTAACCAATCAGAATGTCGCATGGTAATGCCGGTAGAACCTGAAGTTTTCCCGAATGGTAGTGATCATTAAAATTACATTGCAAAAGTAAAGCGATGTCGTAGTACGATGTGTTGGTATGGATTTCAGATGAAAACTGCATGATGGTTTTTGAAAGAGGTGATTAGCAATTTTTAAAAGGTAAAAGAAGTCTTGAAAGAAAAGTTTTTACATGATTCACGACGATAACAGTTCAGATGTATTTTACCCAATCGCGCAATAAACACGTTTTTTCTTGAGTAGCGTAAACTGATCGTGAACTCCGCTTTGCCCACATTACATCAGGGTGGAACTGATTTTGAAAGAATTTTAGCTTTCAATCTAAAGACTGCGTCTATCGTCAGAAAGTATTACTTACAAACAAAGAGGTGCTAATTTTACAAAATGGACTTGTATTGTTCAAAGCTGCTACCACATTGCACGACTATATGTCTATTGTTTACAAATTACAATCCACGACTGGCAGGATGCGTGTCTGTCGGTACGCAAGTATAATAACAATAAGACAATAGTCCTGGTCGGAAGCGTTTCCATGGTGGTCGCTAATTTTGAGTGCCGGTCGGGTCAACCAGCGTGACAATTTCCCAATAAAAAAAGCTTGCTAATCACCGTGGCAGTGTTAGACCGGTGTGGCGGCAAATCGAAGCACTGTGGCGGGACTGCCACACTGTTTACATCCTGGTGAGAACACTGCTGTGATATCTGGCCTTTCATTCCTTATACACACAAAAATAGTAAAAAGTATTTTACAGTATCATGAGAGCTTAAAATTGTTACACTTCTAACCTACAAGTGGTACGATTTTGTTGTGTTTCACAAATTAAGCAAAGAGTGCTCATTCGTGATGTTTATAAATATTGTTCAATGATAAGTAAATTGTTTTCTTACTAAAAAAATGAATTACAGTGATGGCACAAGTTGTTCTTTGAATCAAGCTTGTGTGTAAAATAACTACGTCTGCAGAGGGAGTAAAAAAAAATACCACACAACTTACTTGTTCCCTGCGTTCTGGTTACTAAAGTTTTACCAATATTTCTGATGTTGAACATAGAAGGTGCTTTGACATCATACCAATCCTTCTTCGAGAAGGGGTCAACACTGAAACATCACAACAAAAATTAATGTCTCATAAATTATAGTAGTAAAAATGTACTTTTGATCAATAACAGAACGGACAATCAAAAGAGCAACCGAGAAAGTAATCACACATGTGTACAACACGGTTTCGCAAACGTACATAATTAACAATCAAAATATGGTGTCAATGTGTTCACAATCGACGTGATATCCCCTCCATCCTTTGATTTAAAAACGTGATTTTACGTTTACAGGGAAAACAATCATTAGTTTATTAGTATAGCACCAAATTGTTACTCACACTTTCTTTTTAGCACCCTTCTTTCCCCCTTTTGTAAGACGTTTATTCTTGCCTACCGCCATGTTGGAGCTCTGCGACGAAAAGGCTGAATTGTGTGTTTGTTGAATGTTTCCTCGGCGCGGTGTTTAGGCTATTATTACAAATCACCATTTATCGGCACCGATATTTAATACGTATAAGTACACGAAATAAACTTTATTGTACACTAGAAGAAAATACTCTAATTTATATGTATATATATAAATAAAAGAAACGTTTTTTTTCGTAAAATAGAATGAGGGTGTATTATTGGCGAAAAGAAACAACATAAGCAGACGAGTGTAAAGACAGCGTTCGGTTAGATTCGCGTTCGATTCGCGTTCGATTCACGGTCGCTTCGCGTTCGATTGACGTACGTTTCGCGTTCGATTGACGTACAAATTGAAATATCTATATTTTCAACAAAAGTTTATATATAGCATATTTTGTTTAGAAAAAATGGGGATCAATTTATTCCTTTTGGAGAAAATCATGGTTATAAATAGTCTACAGTCTCGCTCACATCGGAAGTCACGTGGGCTCAAACAAGTATAAAATGGCCCTAGAAACAGACGAGAAACGCATAAATATGTTTAAGGAAAATGAATCTTTTGTAAAAAAAAAAAATTATATAGTCACAAATTATCACCACTCAATTCAAAAACAAATAAAATCTTTGAAACAAGGACGTTGATGATGTTTTTATTTATAATCATTGTCTTTTGACCTTCTGCGCGTCAAGGAACTGTCATTTGATTGTGTGATTTGAACAAAATCATTTGAGAACCAATGGATTTTAGACATGCATAATGACAATAGAAAACAAACCTTGGCTGAAAGCAAACTAAGAACATGCAGATTTTTAAAACTAGATTTAAAAATTGAAAATTACTTAATTAATATGCAGAACCATTGCAAAATTCAGGACAAGCAACCATAACCTTAAAATTGAGAAAGGCAGACACAATAATGTGCCACTGGATAAAAGAACATGTGATATATACAGCCAAAATATAATTGAGGATGAGCAACATTTTGTAATGAAATGTCCAGCTTACAGTCATCATAGGGACAAATTATTCCTGACTGCACAAAATAAAGTTTCAAATTTTGATAAAGAAAATAGTCAGAATAAATTTATATTTATTATGGAAAACCATACTCTAGCACCAGGCTTAGCTGTCTTCTTTTAAAAAAATGTGTTCATTCTATATTATGTATTCACCATTGGTTGCAAATTGTCTTTATTGTTTATTCAGATTTGTTTTTGACTTGTTTTATATTTTTAGAATAGTTTTTTTCTCTCTTTTTAGATTATAGTTTTTAAATTTCTTTTTGTAAGACCCTTTTTATCCTTTCTTAAGGATTTTATGAATCTAATAAATATTATTATTATTATCAAAGGCACATTACTTGGGGTTTGCAACGCGCATAGTACTGTACGGTGACATCATGTCAATATCCCATTCAAGTCTCATCTTGTAGATAACGAGACTGGTGCTACGACCTTCTGACCAATCTCCCAGGCAGAGTTCTATTACGAATAAGTATATCTCTGCCACCACGCCATCTTATGCTTGTCGTTGATTGGTCTATGCGTCACAGTACTACTTTCAAAGACGCTCACCAAAACATTGCCATGCACAAAGTTCAGTCTTTTCCTACATGCCAAAGCATTAGTTTCTACAATAAATGACTAACTTTATAAACTTACTAGAACCTGTGTGTTCTATGGCTGTTAGACGGCAAAATCGAACCCATTCAAGCCAGAAATAGTATTGAAATATTCACCAGAATACAAGATGAACGGAAATGTTAGGAAACTCTTTTCAGTGAAATTAGTCTTTAATGTTTCTTTCCAAACTATATACGTCAACAAAACGTTTTTTCTTCCCACTTTTGTAATTCGGTTTGAAATGAAACAACCGCGGAAAATGGCCGTGCGTAGTGAGGTGATTGACCACAAAATTGAAGGCTATCGTGGCAGGGGCACTATTGCGTAAAGCGCAAAGGCCTCTGGGAAGGAGATTGCTCTGCCACCACACATTCGCTGGTTCCCGGCGTCCTTTGCGAATGGCAGGTAGGACGCAGGTAACTAGTAATCGCCATATTGTTCCATTAGGGCCGGTTTTCCGGCCGGAAGGAACGCGACTGGGTGACGTAATTTGAAAACATTCCAAGTTTCGATTTGCGTAAACGTGTCTGTAATGCTACAATAAAGTGACTTACGCATAACTTTGTTAACT